TAGAACAAGTCCAAATGTTTCCAACGAAGAAGTTCAAAACAAGGTCGAAGGCCCATCTGTTGGAGCCTCTGCAATATATTAAACTACATTATCAACCAAGAAGTTCCAGTACTTCATTTACAATGGTTCTGTCTGAATGAGTGCACTGATGACTGTTTCCCCACTTCAGTCCTGGCCTGTCTGGGTTTCCTGTCCCCGGCGAACAGAGGGGCGCTCATGACCTGTGCTGTGGTCCTCTGGGTTCTGCTGGGCACGCCCGCTGGCTACGTGTCTGCGCGCCTTTACAAAAGTAAGAGTCCAGGGAAACCGGTGTCGCAAAATTTCACGAGTTGCTGCCGTCGGTGTGATCTTTCTCATCGTGATATCCTCATCCGTCTCCGTTTCTGCTCTCAGCTTTTGGAGGTGAAAAGTGGAAGACAAACGTCTTGCTGACAGCACTCTTGTGCCCAGGGTAAAGTTAACTTGTCTCATCTTTGTACTTCGTTTATGTTGCGCTGTATATGCTCTTATTTTGTCTTGGACACCACTTTTGTCATTCTAACATGCACTATCTTTCTCTGTGTTATTGTCGGTCGGCCATCTCTCTTCCCTAGTATTGTGTTTGCAGACTTCTTTCTGATGAACCTGATCCTGTGGGTGGAGGGTTCCTCAGCAGCAATCCCCTTTGGCACTCTGGTGGCCATTTTGGCTCTGTGGTTTGGAATCTCTGTGCCCCTGACCTTCATTGGTGCCTACTTTGGATTCAAGAAATCTGTGAGTTAAGCCTCCGAGTTGATCAAATTGTGTAGCTTGAACTTAATGATTACGGATGAAATCTGTGCGTGTGCTTTAGAGTTTGTAATCTTTCTCACGCTCTTTGTGTTCCTTTGCAGGCAATTGAGCAACCGGTGCGAACAAACCAAATCCCCCGCCAAATTCCTGAGCAGTCTTTCTTTACTAAGCCTATTCCTGGTATCGTAATGGGGGGCATCCTGCCCTTTGGCTGCATCTTCATCCAACTCTTCTTCATTCTCAACAGCATTTGGTAAGAAGACAGGAATGATGTCTTTCCTGATTGGCCAGTAGTTTCTGTTTTCAACAGCTCGCACTCTTGCAGCAAGTTTGGCTTGTTGACGCACGTTGTCTTTTAGGTCTCATCAGATGTACTACATGTTCGGGTTCCTGTTCCTGGTTTTCATTATTCTACTCATCACATGCTCTGAGGCCACAATTCTGCTCTGCTACTTCCACCTATGTGCTGAGGTACTTGATATATCTGACCTAATGACAGTCCAACAGTACAATAAATTCACTGTTAATAGTGCATGTTTGTCATATCATTGTCCTACTTGTAAGTAACTCAACTAAAGTATCTTCCTCTTGATCTTGCTTCTGAATATATTAGTTATTAGACAGCCCAGATTACATTTTATGTAAACATGTCTGAACAGGGTCATTTCAGTTGACGTGTCATCTTTTGTCATGCGTGTCCAGGACTACCACTGGTGGTGGCGTTCCTTCCTGACCAGCGGCTTCACAGCAGTCTATCTGTTCGTCTACGCTGTGCACTACTTCTTCTCCAAGCTGCAAATAGTTGGAGCTGCCAGCACCATCCTCTACTTTGGATACACCATGATTATGGTCCTCATCTTCTTCCTCTTCACAGGTGGGGCTTTGAGATGCATGTCGTGAGCTCTTTAAGCAGCCGCAACCACTTCCTGCATTTCTTGACATGTTGCAATGATACCTAGATATCGGATCGTAATTTAATTTACTTGTGTGTTCGACGTGTATGCAAATAGTTAACCTTACCACTGAGCAAGTTTTAATCCTTACTTGCATGCCATCACAAAGGTGTGTATCGTTTGTAGGCGTGATAGTCATTGTTTGCTCAGTGACAATTTAACTGGAATGTGAAGATTCAGGACCGTCATCCTGTTCCTATGACATAAAACACCAAGAAGCAGTCCGCACTATTGTGCATTACTTCTTCTCTTGTCACTTAGTTAAAGCCAAGCCTTTTTATTTCTGTGCTGGCAGTACAGAAGCACCGTGTCAAACGAAGTTGAAGAGCATTCGTTTGCAAGGATCTTATTTGAACATTTTAATTTAATGAAAATCAGAGCGACTGTGGGAAATTAGACCAGAATGTTGGAAGTCCCTCTTGGTCAGATCCAGTGTTGCAGACTTATTTGGGTCAATCTTACAGTCTGTGATTTGCTGTTTGACAAGCCAGAGCCTAGCCGGAGCTTCTTCTTTTTTTTCTGTAGATCAAAAGATACAGGCACCACTTTTGCTCGTTGCCATGGATGATAATGAGTCTATATGCTCTTCAGGATTCCTGACCATTGCTGAATTTCTCTGTGCTTGCACTCAAAATCCAGCCGTGCGACTCGAGGTCGTGCAGATGGATGTACCGCGCAAGTAGTGAGAGTAGGGGCGTGTGCAGAAAAAGGATAACAGGCCGAGATAACAGCCTAGACTTTACGACGCCCAGAAACCTTCTGCTCCCCGTGATGTCAGATGATGACGACGACATGTTTTTCTGGTGTTGTACTGTCACTAGGCAAGATAACAGCTAGCCTGTAGCCCTGCTTGTCACTGCAGTGCTGCTTGACACTATCTCGAGACGGAGCTGTAAGTAGCAAGGGGACGAGATGTCAAAAGATTACCACTAAGAAATAATCCCAGGATTCAAGGAAAAGATTATCAGTTTTCCCTCCTTGCGTTCAGTTTTGATCTAAATAATCCTAATCTCTCTCATTCTTTTTGTCTGTCTTTTTCACCTCATCCCAACTTTGATCACAACTTAATTCGGGTTTGGGCTGCTTGGCCCCTGTTGAGCTGTCAGACAGGACTTTTATACCCACTTGAGTTGATCCAGGATTTTGACCAATCTGGCTTCTCAACATTGGGGGAGAGTGTGCTCTCTCCCTGACAAAATGAAGTGCTGGTGGTTTTTTGCGTTCTTGGGGAGATTGCAGTCTTAACTGTCAAAAGTTTTTTTTTTTTTTTGTTTTTTTTTTTGTTTTTTTTTCTTCCAAGCTTTTCGTAGATGGAGTCTACAATTTTACACTTTGGTTAGTTTTTGTGTCTGTGCTCCTGAAGTGCATACATTTCAGGACCTAGTGGCCTTTTATTAATGTTGTGCTTTCTTATATTTGAAAAGATTTCAATGACAGCTAGTCTTGGGTGTTTCAAGTTCGTTTTTTGTGTTATTTTATATCGTTTGTAATAGCGTTTATCAAATAATTTCTCTAACCTTTCTTTTCCTCTCAGGTACTATTGGCTTCTTCGCCTGCTTCTGGTTTGTAAATAAGATCTACAGTGTGGTCAAGGTGGACTAGAGGACCGAGGGAAACACTGACTCCTTCCTGTCGCAGTGCTGGCCTCCTCGGGGCTGGCTGGGTGATAAAGTGGTCTGAATGGCCCTGAACTGAAACCATCACTTATCAGAGAAAAGACCCGAAGAGCAGAGCCCCGTCCTCTTTTGTGCTTTAAACTTCCGTTGCTATTCTTTTCTTTTTTTTAATATATATATAATTTTGTCTTCACTGTTGAACAGTAATATTTTCAGTGGCACCTTGAAAATCAGTGTGGGTTCCAATGATCTATCTATCTTTCATAGTGAGCGGTTTTTTTTTTTGGGGGGTTTAACGAGAAAAGCAGGGGGAAAATGATTTGAATTTTCTAAAGAAAGTAAAATGTTCTGTATTTTTGCTTTTCTATTCCCTTTTTGGCTAAATGTTTTGTTTTTCATTACCTGTAATGTAATGCTAAAAATGTGTGTACATATACTGTATAGGAAGAGTGAGCGGGAGAATGAACTTAAAGATTGTCATCTGTAGGAGTTTCTTTTCTTTCTTTTGTAAGGTGAAGATGGGGCTTTACATCCTTAAATATCAGCCTGTAATGTAGTTCAGAAATGATATATAAAACACTGACATTACTATGATACATGTCCATTCTCTTGTGTTTGATGGCTACATTTAAGTTTGCATAGCGTACACTTGGTTGAGAAGCACATCTGTGTCATAGAAGTATATGCTACATCTACAGTATGTTGCACGTGAAGGACCACCTCTCAATGACATGCCTGATTTGTTTGGCTACCGGAGAGATTCTCACGTAGTTATCATAATGCAGTTCATGATTTTACTGATTAAGTACAGATGTACCCTTTTAGATTTTAATAAGCAGTTTGGTGACTTATAACTACGTAATACACTGCTGCCTTTTGGTTCTAGCAGTGGGGAGTCATCACTGAAGGTGATAACTTTTTTTACAAATAAATGCAATCGATTCCAAAATGAAGGCCACATGTTTTTCTTTTTTCTTTGAGCGACTAGAATGCATGCATGAACATTTTGCACACAATTAATCACACTCTTTGCTTTGTGTGTACGGACATAATGCTATGGGGTTCAGTGCATATCATTTAATCAGAAGAGAGGTGAATGAAGAAAAGAGAAGTGTTTATTATAACAGATGTGTGATTATAAAGTTTTGACAGAAAGTCTTTGGTGCTTCGACTCTACAGGGAGGTTTATAATCGAGCAGCAAGATTCATCCACCCATGGAGTCCAGAGGAGGGAATGGCAGGATGTATGAATAATAAACTACAGTTATGAGCATCCAAACGTATAGTCTTCCTGACTGAACTTTCACGAGAGCCTCGTCGGCACTTTTAACATTTCCAGCTGAATGTTGAGATTTCTTTTTTGATCCGACTTTTAAAACTTTTGCGTGTACCACAAATGCACAAAACCTTTAATTAAGAACCGTATGTTTGAACCTAATTTCATTTTTGGCCAGTTTTTGAAAAGTGCTGTACGGGTTTGCTTTTATTTAGCTCAGGATTCAAAAGTGTCCAGCATGTGATTTAGATTTCTAAAGCCAGGCATTGGAGGATGGGGGCGAGGGAGAACACCTGTGGTAAACTTAGTCTTAAAGAAGTGTTTCATACGAAAAACAGATATGCCAAAATGAAAATAAAACGTTACACATTTTACAATAAGTTCACCTTTATTAAACAACAGAACACTTTTGATGTTGGATAAGATAACCAGAAATAATACAAAAGCACGATAAAAATCACAAAATGATGTTTTAAAGCACTTAAAAACATTATTTTCTCTAATTTGACAATAAACTTTATTACATACTGTACTGTACCCCTTCGTCTTTTAGCAACACTAAGACAAACTTATTATACAAGTTTGATTGTCATCTATAATAATACTGTAGTATGGATTTCTACAGTGACCCTTTCAGTAAACTAAGGCTCAAATCAAAGCCAGTCAGGTCCGATAAGTTGTGAGTGGTTTCTAAGAAAACTATCATAGTCTTATTATAATAATAACAACAACACAATGAGAGCGTCCTGGCTCATTACTCAAATTATTTTTTTCCTCTTTCTCAAAAGGCTACAAAAACTTGACAAACTTGGGACTTGACACACTTTTCAAATAATGCACATGTTGTAATGCACCTATGACATCCTTTGGAAACACATCATCTACCCAACAACTTTCTCTGAGATGAGTCATTGCAAGCGTATGCCACTTACATAAGTACTCATCCTCTTTAATTAAGCACACAGGGTTTTTTTCCATTACAAATACTGCACCAGGAGGTAACTTTACAAATCTACATGTGATCAGTGGAATATGAGAACTCTGTTACATAAGATCTTCCGGCATGCAGCCTACGTTAAATTACTGGTGCAAGAAGTCCACTGGAGTAGTGTTTTTTTTTAACTCTTTTTTTATCATACCTTGCTCTCTATGCTCTGTATTCTCTCAATAAAAATACTGAGCTTCCTCAAAGAAAGGCAGACACTGAAAAGACAGCAACTACTGAGTACAAATAGACAGTGGCACACTGCAGCAAGATGCAGAATTTCCACCTTGAGAGTTAAAGGAAACTAAGAGGCTAAGACAATGTGGCACCAGATCACTATTCTACTCAGTTACTCAAAAGAGACCTAGAACAGTTACCGCGACCGGGACGTAAACACACATATGTTCGCTTGCTCTTCAAAGATTCAAAAAACCGAGACTACACACTGTTCCACAAGCATATACCCTGAGTTCATTAGTCGCAGGCGAAGCTTGCGGTAACACAAGGACAGTACATCATGTGCCCTCAGGCAGGATCACACAGAGTTTATAGGAGACATAAGTTGTTGTGCAGATACTGCAGATCAATGCTTTATCTGAGACATCTATGGCCCATGATTAGGGCAAATCACTTTGATCCAACATAATCATTTGTCTAGTTGAAAAAAACAAAAACAAAACATTTACATTAGGTTGAGATTAATCTAAATGCCCAGTTTATGTCAAATTAACTAGTACAATAATTGCATACATTTAAAATACTAAAAATGATTTGTAGAGACGAAACATAATGCAACTATAAAATACAAAAATAACAGCTGCCTACATTGTGACCTATCTGACACTTTTAAACTGGCTCCAAAAATTGTGTTTCTCAAAATTTGACTCAATGAAAATAACGTAATAGTCACACGGACAGTTATTATTCAATCATCAGGGACAGTTATTAACATGTTGGTGATCAACTAGATATACCACTATTTCTAATGCCAGCAACTTCAGAATGAATGACCCTGTTGTCAAGGAGGCATATTAGTTTATGTGTGAACACACTCTGTGATGTACACGGTCCATCCGATGGATCCTCGAGACAGTTTATGTGCTTCGTCTGCTGTGGACTGTGAGTTCCCTCTCAGAGCTGACGCTGGTGGAGGTCGTCTCTTTGCGGCTGTCCCTCGACTTCCTCTCAAAAGTGGGCGAGGAGGACGTCGTGCACTCCTCCCAAGTCCGCAGAGGGAAGACTCGGGCAGTCAGACTGGGCAGGTGAGAGTGGCCGCCGAAACGTCCCTCTGTAGTTGTGAAGCAGCTCTCCACGGCAGAGCTCTGGCTGGGACGGCCCTGTTTGCAGAACAGCCCGCAGAGCAGCGCGAGGAATTCCTTCCTCACACTGCGGTGCATGTAACCATAAATGTACGGGTGGAGGCAGCACTGCAAAAAGAAGAGCACCAGGGCAAGGGAGGAGAGCCATGGGGGTACAGCTGCTCTGGCACTCATAGATATAGTATTAAGTATGCTGTAAGGCCCCATGCTGAGGATATATGAGGCCATTATCACAAAAACTACACGAGCTGCCTTGCAGTGGTAGTGGAAACGTCTGTGCCTAACTCGAACAGGGTATCCCCTGTTTGAGTAGGGGCCATCAGGTGGACTGGCCTGCTGGGGCTGGGGCTGTGGTTGTGGTTGTGGTTGTGGTTGTGGTTGTGGTTGTGGCTGCGGTTGCGGTTGGGGCTGCGGTTGGCGCTGTGGACTGCTCGGTCCCTGTGGCCAGGGCTGGGAGTAGGACCGTGTCTGTATGGGGTGCACGAGCGCGTTTTGCCTCCGAGCCGCTCTGAACACCATCCAGTAGCATCCGAGCATGATGAGCACAGGCAGCCAGAAGGAGAAGGTGGACACCACAACAGAGTAGGACAGGCTAGAGGACCACACCACTGAGCACACGTTGTGACGCCGGTCAAAGTCAATGGCCCCCCAGCCGAAAAGGGGAGGCGTGCTCTGCAGGAAACTGAGCACCCAGGTGCAGATGATCAGGTTAGTGCCCAGGTGAGGGGTCATGCGGGTGGGATAGGACAGAGGGTGGATGATGGCCAGGTAGCGATCCACAGAGACAACGATAATGGTGTTGACCCCAGCAAATGCAAAAAGGTGCATGAGCACCACCAGAGCCTGGCACATTCGGGCATCCAGGGGCCACACACCTGGCACGGTGGCTGCAATGGCAAAGGGCATGACTAATATGGTCTGGAGCAGGTCTGCCAAGAGGAGGTTGAGGACAAATCGATTGGCCACGTGAAGGAGCTGGGGCTTCCTCTGGAACACCAGCAGCACCACCACATTCCCGAACAAGGACACGCACACTATGACAGATATGAGCACCATCTTAACCACGCTGTTCACCATGGAGGACCACACCAAGTTTCGATTAGAGCCGGTGAAACCAGGCTCCCAGGGAGCATCAGTGAAATTTGTGCCCATATCGGGCGCCTGAGAGCTTGGCATTGTCTGCACGTGTGGCCTCTCACATCCAGCAGCGTGTTGACATGAAGTCAGGTTAGTCCCATCTTGATCAGCAGAATGTCAGGAGAGAAAAAAACAGCCGTGGTTCGCTTTTCCACGGTGCAACAATAATAAACCGATGTAGCTGCTCCTCCGTTTCCAGTGCTTTCAGGTGCAAAATTCAACAAGCATCTGTATTTATTCTCACATCTCACGTAAACATGCCACATCATCCATTACACGTGAAAACAGTCCAGCAGACTCATCCATAAGGCTCAGCCTGTAATGCTGTGGATGATTAACACCGATTTGTTGCTCATCGTGATCAGTGATGAATCCCTTCACCCACCGAACAGGCCCTATTCTTCTTGCAGCCCACATCTGCAGAGAGGAAAAATGGAATTTGTCTGGCGACAAATAAATGCCGCCGTTCAAGCGGTCAGCATCCACCGACGATGTTCAGACAGCGGCAGATATCACGGATTGCTAATCCTTAAATGGTGTATAATACCTTGAAATTATCTTTGCGCGAGGACGCTCACTCCGCCGCGCTCGGTTTTCATCGTTTCGCTCCCATTTGCGCCTCGGCTCCAGTCAATGGCAGCGCGCCTCCACGGCTCAGCCGACATACGCTCCGTGTGTCGTCGCCCAGCGGGGGTCTCTCATCCAGACGAGCATATCTTTCCTTTCGCTGCTGCTTTCGGATTTCAGTGCGGATCAAACATTTATTTATTATTTTTTGTATCAGCTTTGATTCCTCCTCAACAGTCTTAGGCTACTTACGGTCGGGTCTTGTCTCCGAGGTGTCATGAGAAAAAAAAAAAACACCTGCACTGAAAGCTCCCCCCCGAGTTTGTCACCGACCCCCCATCCATCCGCTGTTTCCCTTTTTTGTTGTGAGTGTGCAAGTGCGTTTCACGATGCTGTCTGACACGTTTTTTTATACACGCTGGAATCACAAGATACAACCGTTATACCATTTTTCATTGTCTTAAATCTTTAATTTTCTTTTTGTCTTATAAATTATAATAAAAAAAACGATCAAATGATGGTTGAACAGGTTACTATTCGTTCCTTTCAGCAACATGTAACCACGGTCCTATTTATAGGGATCATTATAGAAATCAGTTCACAAGAAATGTCTGTCTTTTTACAAGAAAAAAAGGCAGATTTTCCATTTTGCCAAGTATCTCAGCCAGTCTCACAGATCTCCTTAGTAACAAGTGATTCAATTAGTGGCTGTTTATGTGATCTTTACATAATTGGATGGCTGTCAGGGGAGAACAAAATAAGACTAAAGTCGACCTCCATTGCATCTCTGCAGAGCACCAAGCACGAAAGGTTTGGAATTATAATATTTTATGTTTGCATCAGTATTTTAACATCTTGTTGGCACATTTATTACGTGGTGACATATTTTTTGTATAGCTTAACTTATGTCACTAAGAACAATCAAAACTATAATACAAACTAGATGGTTTTCAGCATTTTGAAAGAGCCCTGAAACACCATAATTCCAATTGGCTCATTTAATCCTTTGGTAATATCACAGCACTAATATTTAGTTGCAACACTATCTCACCGCAAGGTCCAATTACTCAGCTTTTGATTATGTCATCATATATTCACTGGCAGATGTATCTTCACTACCAAGACTTGTCGATGTTCAAATTTCCATTCCTTGGCTTCAAATGCTGAGCTTCAGAATCCATTCTTGACTTTGGAAACATCATTTGACAAAAATGTCCTCACTAGGTCTGCTCTGGTGCTATCAGTCACATCACTTGATCTTCATCGGCTATTTTCACGCTGATTTCTTCTGTCTTTCTGCGCCACCTCAGATCAGGTCTCCCGTCTTTTCTCCCGAGGATTCATACAGACAGAAAAGGATAGAATTACATACCTGTTTTAGTTATGCACTGGTTTACCTGACCTATAGTGTTACACCAATCTCAATGTTTTAGCTTAAACTCCATATTTGCTATTATACTCAATACACAACCTTTTAAGAAACACGTGGCGTAAAGCTAATTATATATTTGCCCAAACAAGCAACTTTCATATCTTTATTTACAGATTTTTAAAAAGGGAATGAACTGCATGTATTCAGTTAACTCCTTCAGGCATCATTATACAACCTCTGACAGGATGAAGCTGAAAACTAGACCTTGATTCGTTCTAAATATAGCAGAGACATAAATAGGAGCCCATTGCACCAAGCTCAAATATATTCACATGAAACTTCCAACATTTCTGTTAACACAAATGAGCTTTCACATTTAATATTTATGAATATGTGGATAGCTCATTCTCGATCAAATAACCACAACCTTTCTCCGATGAATGCTTGTATGTAAGCCACCTCTTTTTATAGCTGGAAATATAAAAAAAATTGCATCAACATTTCAGCCTTTCTAGTAAAAAGACTTCATTAAGATGCACAAAAAACAGAAGCAGTACGACATACTACGTTGTGCAATCCAATTAGTCTGTATCTTACGTGGCCTACTAATCAACGCTCGTAATTAGCCATTTTATTTCAAGCCTTTGCTCTAACCGAGCTATCAAAAAGCCCTTTGATGTGAATCTCGAGCACCCTGTGTTTTAGATTTAGATTGCAAATGAAATGCTGGTGACTGCAAAGGGATGGGGCGATGTTTCCCTGTTCTTTTGTTGAGTGGACTGTGGTTCAAAGGCAGACCCACAGGCCTGCTGCCTCATAGGACTATTAGACTGTTAATACAGTGTGAATGTTCAATGTGGCACCAGGTGCCCATGTCTCCGTCTCTACCTCTGTCATGTGGTTTCTCTCTCATTCGCTGTCACTCACTGACACCTATGGGCCAATACAATCAAACACACAATGGGCAAGGACTGCAAGCTCACAATTTTTTCTCTTTTTTTTCTTTCTATCTCTCTATTTTCAATTTAGTTTATCTTTCAGTTAACAGGAGCTTTACTGGCATGACTTTAAATGTACAATTTTGGCAAATGAATAAAGTCTATTGATGCAATGAGGAGAAAAGGAGAAACTATACATTATAGATTTATTTAAGACCCATATTCATTTAAACCTTGCAGTGCTGACATAGTTTCCTTTTTCTAACTTCAAAACAAATCTGAAAATATATCTCTAGCTGTTTATCCTCCATAATTTGGCACACATGTTCGCAAGTGTGCATTTTGAATTTGCTGATTTTTGGCCACTATGAAGCAGAAAAGACAGAAAGCATGTATATAAAAAAGGGCCTATATGCTCACACTGCCTAAAAATGACCTGCTCCTGTGAGAGGAACATCTAGGTCTTTACCCTGCTCTTTCCTTCATCACTAACACTGTGCAGCAGTTTGGATTAAAAAGAATAATAATAAAAAGAAGAAGCAGAAAGAGCTTTTAGGCTTTTTTTTTAGCTAGCTAGCTTCCTGCCCAGCACTAGACAATATTACTCAGTGCACGGTAAACACAGCAGCTACTATCCAGCAAGCTTAGGAGCCGGATATTTTTTGACAGAGCAGGTGACAGAGACAAAAGCAGAGCTCAAAGGTGCGTAAATGTTGAACTCCAAACTAATGCTAACGTTGGTTTGTGACCGCTGCATTTGAAAGTACTGGAAATTGTTTGCTAGCATGTTAGCCATTTTGAATTCTTAGCATTTTGTGATTTTTGGCCACTGTGGAGCAGAGAAACTAACAAGCTGAGAGTTACACAGCCCTGACACATTGTCAAATAAAAACATGTTGTGACTGATTGGTAAGCAAACAATTGTATGTTGGCCATACAAATCACCTGATCATGAGAAACAATATGTTCCTTCTATTTTCTTATCATCTGCTGGTAGCTATCTGCCTGGATGCCTTGGCGGGAAAAGAAGACTTAACGTTAGCCTCTGACAAGATAAAGACAAAGATACCTCAGGAGTTGATGGAGACTAAAACAGAGCTATGGTTAGCGTTATATGGTAAGTTAATGTTACACTGACATTTGTGAAGTGGCCAGAAACATGACTCCAAATGTTGCTCCATGAGTGCTAGATGTGAAAGTATTGTTTGCTAACATTATTCATTTTAATCGTTTGCTTTATTCAATTGTTGGCCACTAGAGAGAAGAGTATGGCCGGTGTGTTAGCAAGCACTTGTCTATTGGACACTGCCTCTAAGAAATAAAGTACACTTGCTAAATGTTCTTTCTTACCACACCAACACTTTCAGTCTGCTGCTGTTGACTGGTTACTATCTGTCAGCTCGTTTTTATGTTGTCTGCCCTCTGGTGGCCAAAACAAGACTCATGCAGCTTTAATTGTTTTGTTAAAGTCAAGTTGAGCTTGAGTGGATGATGCATTATGTCAGGAAAACCACTACCATGTACCCAGACAACACCCAGCATTGTTGCAGGTGAGAAAGGGCCTTAACGCCGTCTGTTTCTCTATTAGCATGCATGATGTTTAGCCATTGCTGCGAAACCAAGCCACAACATTCAAAATGTGATAATAGAAATGAGAGCAAACATACCCCAAACATTAATTAACCTGAAGTTGAATTGGAAATGCATCATATGTATGTATATACAGTATAAAATTTATACATGTAAATCCCTCACACACGTATGCACATATATTGCATTCTGTGCATTGAATTTACGGTATCATTGCACCGCTCTTCTCTCTCTTGGCCGATTCAGATGCAATATTCAGATGCATTTGTTGTTACTCTTTCAATTTTTAAACACAGCAGGACACCGACCTGCTCTTCACAGCTTCAGTTAAGTTTTGGTATTTTTTTCTAGTCACTTAATTTTTTCCTTTGGAAAGCCATGTTTTAAAATTGACTTTACCAATTTGGCCACAGAATGACCTGCCTTACAAGATTGATTGAATGTAGTAGGACAACATTGTATATAGAAAATTGGATTGAAGTTTGATTTTTTTTTTTCTGACTGCATGAGGAGTCCTGCGTGGATTTCCAGTCGGGCCCCACATGGCCGTGTCAAACTGACGAGATGAGCTAATGGTGAAGTTGAGGTAAGTGAAGGTGGTGTTGCCTTCAATAGGGAAATCAAAGCTACATTCCTAAAACCAGGGTTGCTTTTGAAATACCATTTATTGTCCGTATTTATTGAAAATCCTGAAAGTTTCTGATTATCGGTCAATAAAATAATCACAGTTACACAGAAAATGCCAACAGGTTTTTATTAAAGTTGACATTGACGTAGAGTTTTTACTTATATTGTCACATAATATTGGTGTTCACCATCACTGTGTTCCCACACGTACTAATATATATTTCTTAATGCTGTGAATTGACTGTAGAAAATAAGGTAAATATTACAATTCATAATGTGTAGTGGAGTATGTATTTTGGTTTATAGAATATGGCACTGCCAGCAAACCAAGACCTTACTACATACTTTAATCAATAAATACTGTGCTCATTTTAAGTGTGTGATCCGTTTTGTGTGACACATTTTAAGCGTGTTTTCCGCTGATCTACCAGCTTGGGACCTGGTAAGAAAAATCTTTTACCATAGTTGTTGTGGAAACAAAATTAGTAGCATATTTGGTTATGCTGTGGTACAAAGACATTCTTAGCTATGATAGGTAAGCATTTAGGTGATTAGAGCTGTTAAAGTGGACACATTCTTCCTCCGCTCTTATTCAGAGCCCAATAGAGGATGAATACAGGACGGTTTGAATGCAGGAATGTGCTCAATTAACATACTCTAATTGTGTAATTGAAATTACGAGACTCTTATAGTTCATACAATGCAACGCGACTTGTTGTAGGCGCAATGGATGTCGGTATATTCCCCGGGCGTGGAAGTGCGTGAGGCATGGGGACAAAC